TATGATTCAACCGAAAGGTACATACATGTACATGCAATGTAGATGATTAATATCTACATTCAAGTTAAAACAACTGTGTCTTTATATTTTTTTAAGTTTTACGTATAAGTATATGAATTGAATTATTGTCATAAAAAACATCTATGGGTGGTTAACAGTGTGTACCCAGAATTTGTTTATACCAAGTCTATTGCATCCAGGTATTTTAATCATGTGAACAATATATTCATTTAAGAGAAACTATGTCATTTCGCGATGAACAAATCGTACAATTCATATTCATTTGACGATCGACCTCCTATTTACAAGACTATGGATTATCCTAACTACAGTGTAAACATGGTTTAGAGACTCTATCTGAACTACAGGGTACATCATGTTTTAGAGACTATAGACAGGGTAGATTATGGATTATAGACTCTATCTGAACTACAGGGTACATCTAACTAAAGGGTACACCATGGTTTTGAACCCAATATTGAATTCAGTAACCGTAAAAACCTTATTACAAGCAATATCCACAAGGCCAGGCATCGCCATTTTGGTTTCTATTTTGACTGTCGTTTTATATTTACACCATCTGGACCATTCACAATTAGTTGGTTTTATTTTAAATAGAACCCAACAACCACCAAACCCATATATACGACATATTTCAAGCCATACCCACCGGAAAAAAAAGACGATGAATTAAAATTCAACCATTTTGGAAACCATTTTGCCGGCCACTTTGAACTTCTACCTCCAAGAATTCTCTAAATTTATTTTGGAGATTATCGCTGACCCTTCATTACTAAATTAATGTTTTGGGTTTTTTTCTTTTTAAGTGGTATTATATTATCAAATTTGGCAGTCATTTAGAAAGAAATGCGCGCCACCAAATGAAATGGTGTTTGTCAAGTTCGATTTTTCAGCACATTTTGCTTGCATAACCACTCTGTTTGAGGAATTTAAAAAGAAATCATGTATCCTTCCACCACTCAAAGACACTGATTACGAGATATCGCTCTCCGATAATTCCTGAAGAACGTCAAATTGTATTATGTTAATTATGTCATTTTGCCATAGCCGATTTTGAGTATGATTTTTTCTGACATATTTATCATTGAACCAAACTGCATTGATTTCTTTTGCAATTTGTTTAGTATAAATTGTAGCCCGTAAAACGTTATACCTAGAAAAAAAAAAAAATAAAACGTTTTGTTAAGTAAAGCTATATGACGTCATAGTTTGTATGGCGTCATAGTTGGGACCCAAAATGGCGCCTGTAAATGAGTCGTCGTAACCATAGTAGTTTTCAATTGATGGTGGGCATTTCTTTCAAAATGGTGGAATTTCATTAATTTTCATTTCTTTCCGTTGGGTATGACTTGTAATATGTGGTATATTAATCCCGCAATGACATAGTTGCTCTTAAATGAATATATTGTTAAAGCGCTTTAAACATCTAGATGCAATAGACAAGGTGTAGAAAATTCAAGCCAAATTGAAATGTTGGTAATAAAGATCGAATCATAGTTTTTAGTTATACACTGTTAACCACCCGTAGATGTTATAAATCACATAATTTATTCCAATCTGAACGACAGACTCACCCTACCTGCAGAGAAGTGACTCTGACACAGTGAATAGCCATGATATCCATATGACGTTATCTAAACGTCACAGGTCATGAGGTCACATCAACAAACAAATGTAAACACCATCATTATGATCATTATCAACATTACAAGACACAATGTTACATTGTAAACAATAGCCTTCTAGCAGCCCTTAGGACTGTATAATCCGTACAGAACGTCTTATCGCTTCTTCCAATGATTTTTCACAAAAATAACATCATCTACAACTCTAGATTTGACGTCGGCATATTGGCACTATTTTGTGCTTCGGTCGTGTCTATTTCAGATATACACAATCAATTCTGTTAATGTTTTTAGCGTGGGGATTGACTAATAGTTAATTTATTTCAGTTCTAAACAAAAATTTAAAACTTTAACGCAATTTTAAAAAAATAGCCAAATTCTGGCTGGGATTACTGAGCAAAATGGCCATTCACTGTATACGTGCGAAAAAAAAGCCAGCTACCATTTAATTTTCGTTCGTTATTTACGTACGAATTTATTCAGCTCGACGCAAGATTTAATATGGGTAGATGCGTTTCGTTTAACTTGAATGTAGATTTATATGCATATATAGGACCTTTAGGTTGAATCATATCATAGGGATATCTTATTTGCATAGTTTTACGTATTTGTCGACATTAAGGTGTACGTGTTCTATTGTTCCATTTATAGCCTATACATTTTCTTGTTTCACTTGACTAAACAAAACATTGTGTAGGAATGTAGGCTTTTATAGATTGAACAAAAAGCTGATGAATGCTGAGATGTGTGGAACATGCTCGAGGCGATTTGTAACAAATCTCAGGCACGATATACTCTTCAAAAAAAGTAGGGATATTAAAATGCAAATACCTATGCAGGTTGTAATATGATAAATAGTCATGGACACTAGACATGCTTTGGGAGTATGTTCACAGATGAAGAACTTATCGCCCAAACAGAACCATGGAACCACTGAGCGGCACATGCGTGTGACACGCAATAGCGCCATACACGTGGGTTCATCGTCAAATTTGACTATTGAAGGAAGGGTTGATGAAAACTACCGCGTGCTGGTTAATCTATCCATCTTTGCTTTCCATGTCGGTTCTTGTATAAGATTTACTGTTTAGCGTATCTTTGCTTTAGTGTGTTACGTTTAATTTGATCGGGAGATGTGTTCGTCGACTTCAACGTCAACCGACAACATACACTGGTTACCTCTAATAAAACAGCAGTGCATTTCCGCAGTTTTGTATTGTTTCTGAATATCCCCTACTTTTTTTTGAAGAGTATACATTTGTTACTAGTTGAGCATTAGAACAACATGATTATTTCACTGGAAATGGGACGCAAATACCCAAAGGTGTCGAACAAACTCTAAAGCAACTGCGTCTCCTTTCTTGGGCCCCTTCAATGTATGTCTACCTGTGGAATAACATGTACATTATTTGTATCTGTTAAATTTGTGCGGTTTATATATTAGATTAATATTATCATTTACTCAAAAGACACCAGGAAGTTTCGTAGAGTCACATGTCACTGATGAACATATGCCCGAAACACATGTTACGCTAGACACCTTTTATTTAATTTACGCTGATTTTAAGTTAGACTGATTTCAAATGTTTTATCTAGTCAATTTAAAGAAATTTCTATTTTCGAAAAATTAATGATACAATTAATAATCGATGACCGAATCCGGAATGGCTCCAGAACAAAAAATCATGGAATTTCAGGCATTTATTTTGCCGGCTAGAAGGCAAAAAGGTTTTATCTCCCAAATTACTATTTAAATTTTAATTTTTCACTTTACCCGTCTGCACAAAAAATCTGATTTTTAAAAGCGTATGCAAGTTAAATATATTTAATAGCGCTTTTATCTGGTTTATCTTTCATTTCATTTTCTTATGAATTGGACTATTCTTATAACAATAATGTGCGCTTTTTGTTGTATAACAATAGTTTGTTCAGCTATACTTTTCGTTTAAAAAATGTATATTTTATCTCTTTTTCGCGGAATTCTATGAGATATCCATCTACATCCCTGTCGGGTGCAGTCAACTTCGACACAACAATATGGTAGGACATAAATAGAAAGTGAGTAGGTACAAATACTTGAGACCCAAGATGGCGTCTTTGTACACTTGACGTCATATTTTCATGACGTCATATGAAATTTCTGGCTTCACAGTTGTCGCAACTTTATCTATATTATACGGCTTTGGTGTCAACCTCCTCTCTACCCGGGAACTTTCGGGACTTTTGGTTTGCATTTTTGGTTGTGGAAAATGGCACCATATCTACTGTATGTGGAAAATGGCACCATATCTACAGTATGGAAAACGGATGGTAAATAAAATTATTATTATTTCGAATACCGAAAGAATTTTAAGAAAATAAACTAAATCAAATGACTATAATTGAGTATGGATTAGTCTTATGCGCGATTTATTTTAGCCAGAATGGTAGGCCTAGATCTAATGCCAATGGCCAATGGGGCTCACTTGTCTTAGACTTAGCCTTGATAAAACTTAAAAGATGGAATTTATCTACAGGCCTAATGTAGTCTACCTGTACTGTTTAATTTTTGGGTCACCATAACTTTAAGTTCAGATATGGTGTTAAGACCATCACTAGGCCTATTCATTGTAAATTTGTATGTTGGATATAGGCTACAATTTTAAAGTCGTGTTTACTTTTGGCACTTTTCTTTTGATTAATCTAACACCAGTCAGGTGGAGTTGTATTGTTTTTATTATTTATTTCCAGCTTAAAGCCTGCATTACAAAGGGAACTAGCGCTAAATGTAGGCCTATCAATGAATCCAATCACTTGACAAGCAATCAGGTTGACAGGTAGGCTATGAATGTTCGTTTTAGCCTAATTCCTTTTATACGACAGACCTTTTGTAACAGAGTTGGATCAGCTGATATTCTAAATCTATTGTTTTTATTTTCAAATTAGACTACACTGAAAAAAGACTTGTGTTGAAACAACACAAACTTGTGTTGAAACAACACAAACTTGTGTTAAATGTTGAAACAACACAAGACTTGTGTTAAAATTTACCAAACAACACAAACTTGTGTTGAAACTTGTGTGAAAATCTACACAATACTTGTGTCGAAACTTGTGTTGAAATTTCTGAAACTTGTGTTGAAATTTCTGAAACTTGTGTTGAAATTTCTGAAACTTGTGTTGAAATTTCTGAAACTTGTGTGGTTTCATAAAAACTTGTGTATAACCACCAACAAAAACTTGTGTTTTATTTTCCCTCAATTTAGCAATCTTTCCCATGCAGCCCCCCACCCCTTTTGCTCTGTTTAACCTGTAAAGTTTGATAAATGAGGTAACAATAATTTTATTTGTTAAATTATCATTTATTCATAAAATGATAGGAAAAAGTAAATTAACACCACCAAATCAAAACTAAATAGACATCATTTGAAATGTTAACAGAAAAACAGAGATATAAATCTAATACTAATAAAAATTTTGTTATACTTTGCCCCCCCCCCCCACATCACAAAATACAAAATAGCTATTTAATTTTTTCTTTACCCGAAAACAAGAACTGAGAAAAGAAAGATCCCTACCCCATACCCCAAAAATATATAATTCAAATATATCTAAATTTAATAACATCCAAACCAAGCCCTAATTAGATTAATTATGCACTAAATTGAAATACTTTCAGAAACTGAAAAGTGCTACAAAGTCATATTACAAGTGATTTGTGAGGCATCTAGAAATAACTAGCATACACAGAAAACTAACAAAAGAAAAATGCACTATTTTGCAGGAGTAATAAAATGATGTAGAACCTTTTCCTCAAACAAAATGAATATTTTGTACATAAAAGGAGCAAAGCATCAAGATTACAGGATTGAAAAATAAAAAAATATCAGAGAAAATCGCAAACATTAAATAATATGTACAAAATATATATAAATAATCACAAGTCAAAAGCAAGGAGGAGCCACTGTGGTTCAGTCAGTGCATTGGCCGAGAAATTTCAACTGGATTTTCCGACATAGTTCCCACACGCCAGTAGTGTAGGACATGGCAAGGGATAATTGGGTATAAGCCCAGAATTGAAACTACCCCCACTGCGTTTACTTTAAAGAACCCTTGACAATTGAATTATCTGACTCAATGACAGACCCTTCTGATCCAATGTGCGTGTGTTAACCATTCGGCTCTCCTGGGTTCCCTTTAAACAACCCTTGACAGTTGAAATATTTGATATAAGAATAGGTTGTAGGGCAGAATCACCATAATAACACAGAAAAGTAGGATATTAAACCCTATTTCATTTCATAAGCAAGGGAAAGTCACCTTAATGTAGGTCAAGGTTTTTTGTAATTCTGGGTATATTTGATCTACATTTGGTTTCTAGACTATGCCTATTAAATACTTTATGATTTCCGACCAAATTCTAAGTGATTTATATGTCACTTTACATTCTATATTATACATAAATTTCTGTAGAGAATTAAAATCTAATTGTGTTTGGGATGAATATTTAACAGTAAAAACAAAAAAAAATATTCAAAAATTGGGTCAAATGCATTCTTTTCCAGAATTATAAAATAAATTGATGCTTGGGATCTCTTGTTGTTATCATACATCAAATAATCTTCCAGCCTAAAAAAAAGTAGGCAATAAGAATACTTTCTTACTATTTATGGTTCACAATGTTTAAATAAACAATTTATTTTGCCACATCGAGACTGAGTCTCTATTTTGTTTCATCTTTGGGTAACACTTATTGTGTCTTGTCCAGTAACAGACCCAGGCAGATTATTATATTTTATTTCCATCGACAACAAATTGGATATTACCTATTAAAATCTATTTGAAAAGTAAAATATTGTCCATTTTTATACTGCTATTTACTGTAAAAATACACAAAGGGTCTATCACAACTTGAAGAAAATCAATGGATGTGATTGTCAAAAATCAAGAATGCCAAGACTTGAATAGGAGAGTCCTAGGCATTGCCCCAAGAAGAATAACTAGATTACCAATCAAGTGTATAGAACTAGTTGATGATTAAAAATACAAATATGTATGTTACTTACATTTTACCTGATTATCAAGCTCTGTGAGAAAAAGTTTCCATAATATGAATAGCCATTTCCAACTGTCTTGATCTTTCTGATGTAGTTAACTGAGAAAAAAAACATACTATGTTTTAGTTGACTTAAATCGATTCAATATTTAAATAGACGAAAGTTTTAATTTAATTAAATTGTATTGTAATGTGTTGGTTTGCTTTGTCACAGATGAGACAAAATGAAAAAAATGAAATGAAATGGGGTTTGGCGTCCTACTGTTCAGCTTCGACTGGGCTAATGAGGTTGGGCATATGCCATACAGTGTGCCACGAGAGAAATTTTGCCGGGTACCGTGACCCTAAGGCCTACTCTTGTATCAAATTCTAACTGCCAGGGGCTCTTTTACATGCACACCAATGTGTACACGGGACCACGTTTTTTTGTTCAATCTGAACGACTAGACAGCTGTCCTTGTAAGGCCCCCGTACTGCATCGTCTTACTGCAAACCCGCGACCTTAAAATATGCAAACCAGTGTCTAACCCACTTGGTCACCATGGGTCCCCACAGAACGACTAGACAGCTGTCCTTGTAAGGCCCCCCGTACTGCATCGTCTTACTGTAAACCCGCCACCTTAAAATATGCAAACCAGTGTCTAACCCACTTGGTCACCATGGGTCCCCACAGATGAGATAGTCATATCTACATGTATCTGGACATAAGTAAGATTCTGTCTGTGCACATACATGTACGTGTGCAGTTTTACTATACTAAACTGAATTTTAAATTTCAAAATATTAAAATGAAATCGAGGTTTATGTCACATCAGCTCCAACCGGGCTATATTGTGCCAAACACATTATGGTGAGATTCTAAAATACCACAACAACAATATTTTCTATTAGAATTGAACACTCACCCTCCAAAAACACCTATGAGAAATCATAGGTGCTCAAATCACCATTTCTTCAGCTCTTTCTTTTCCCATATTTGGGTTTTTTGACTTATTTTATTATATGATCTTTGATTTGCTATGGCATCTAATATGGAAACTGAAAAATATGAATATGTGACATGTAATTAACTGTTTAAGATACCTTACCATATACAAACTGTGTGATATCTAAAACCATTTTAATCCCGAAGATCTTACCTAAACCGTGAAAATCTGTTTTAATAACCCTTGTTTGTCATGTGACTGGAGAGTCACAGTAATTAAAAGAGAGCCATGTGGCTTAGTGTGTAAGGCACTGGTCTGCCTATTGGCTATATATATGCACTAGTCTGCCTAATGGCTATATATATATGCACTGGTCTGCTTAATGGCTATATATATGTACTGGTCCGCCTAATGGCTATATATATGCACTGGTCTGCCTAATGGCTATATATATATATATGCACTGGTCTGCCTAGTGGCTATATATATATATATATGCACTGGTCTGCCTAATGGCCTATATATATGCACTGGTCTGCCTAATGGCCGATATAATATATGCACTGGTCTGCCTAATGGCTATATATATATATATATATGCACTGGTCTGTCTAATGGCAATATATGCACTGGTCTGTCTAATGGCAATATATGCACTGGTCCGCCTAATGGCTATATATATGCACTGGTCTGCCTAATGGCTATATACATATATGCACTGGTCTGCCTACTATATATGCACTGTTTTATATTAACAAATATTAGGCAGACCACTAAAAATGTATATTTTTGAGGATTTTTTTTTAACTTTCAGATATCAATTAGACAGTCCCAAAGGTGTCATTTTTAAAATTTTCATCTCCAAAAAGAAATAAGTATGGATTTTCACAAATGTCTACCTAATGCCCAAAATATAATACGGTCTGCCTAATGCCCAAAATCATATATATATATAGAAAACAATAAAGGTTAAAAATGCCTAAAGAAAGTATACTATTGTTTAATTGTCTACATGTTTCGCCTGAGCTTGTCAAGACATACAAATCTGACAAGCTCAGGCGAAACATGTAGACAATTAAACAATAGTATACTTTCTAACTTCATACATACGGTTTAACTTCATATATATATATATATATATATATATATATATATATATCGTATTTGCAATATTTTGTTTACATTATTAATATCTGAAGACAGCCATAGAAGGCAGACAGCTAGCTTATATGATTTAATGTATGCGTCCGAAGAAGTAAAGTGTCGAATTTTTTACCTGGACGTATTTTTTTTTATGTATGCATTAATCTACTGTAAACATAGAAGTATGTGTATACTTGTACATATTAAAGTAAATAAAGTACCAGCACTTCTTTGTTTACGGTAGATAAATGCATAAGTAAATAAAAAATATATATTATATAGTTCAGAAAAGGGATTGTTGAAAGTTATGCAATATGCTTTTCATATATCGGTGATTTATGCCGCGCAACACGTGAATTCTGTTTATACTATTTACGTCACTTGGAATCACATGAGAGTGCTTTGCGCATGCTCTGGTCATAGCTTTGCTTGCTCTCGAAGAGAGCGGTCACGACAATAAATTGTCTGTTATATACTTTGTAGTTTCACAACAATTTGTGAACTATTTACGTGTACTGACAAATAATTTTGTTGGTAAACTGTATCAGAATATTAACAGTTGTTATCGTGTATTTTAAATCCACATGAAGATATTATTTACGATACTCAACTAAACTATGACCGATTTGACTCAACGCGTTGTCACTAATAAACCTGAGAAAAGGGGTAAAACCCCCAGCAATGGTAAACAAGTGGGAAAAGGTTCCAAGAAATCTTGCAAAAAGTTGCAAACGGCTACGAATGATTTACCCATAGCGGGGACGTCGACAGAAAAAGAGTCTGCTCCGGGTCCAAAAGTAGGTTCTGATTTAGTGAACGACGTCAGCGCCTCTATAGTAAACATTGACGGCCATGTGTCTTCAAAACGGAATGAAACTAATGTGACTGATAATATTTATCAAAATATGTTTGTGGAAATGACTGAGATGATTTCAAATCAAAACAATCTGTTTACTCAACTTATCAAGTCCAGGAACCAAAGTCAAAGTGGGCTTATTGAGGATTTGGAGTCGCCACCTGTATCGCCTTCAATCTCTGATCAAAATCAGGACACTGTCGACGAAGTTGATATTTGCACACAAATTGATAACGTTCTCATGGACACTGCTCCGGAGGCTGGGACAACGGATGTCTTGTTACAGGATATACAACAGTTATATGCCGATGGTTCGGATTGTGGACCCGATATCAATCAGAAGGTAGCAGATTTAATCAATAATCTGTTGTGTCGAAAAATTCCAGATTCTAAATTAAATAAAACTGGAGAAGAATATAAAAGACCTCAAGAATTGTATGATGATGGTTACGCCTCGGGTTAATGCCGAAATTTGGGCAGAAGTTCAACCGAATCACCGTTCTTCTGATATAAAGTTTCAGAAAATTCAAGATCGATTAACTAAGGGACTGGTACCTTTAACGACACTTGTTAACGACTTGAATATCATGAGAAAATCACCTAATCTTCAGTTTGATTCTGAGGAAATGGGAAAAATGATTCGGAAGTTGTGTGATAGTCTGGCTTTTTTAGCAGCAGCCCATTTTGAAATTTCAATGAAGAGACGTGAAAATTTAAAATCAAGTAACCTCAACAACAAAATCATGTCTAGACTTTGTTCGGTCTCTAACAGAGTCACTCAGAATCTTTTTGGAGATGATCTTCCGAAGTCGATCAAGGATATCAGTGAAGTCAGTCGTGTTGGCCAAAATGTTCAACCACGAAGATTACCATTTAATGCTAGACGTCCTTTTCCTTATCAAAGATCTTATAATAGTCAACAGATTAATTATAAGAATTCTTATAAGAATCCTGCTAGTACTGGAACCAGTCACAGATATGGCTCAAGTGGTCAGATGTCAAAAAACTTCTATCCAGGGAGGGGACGAAGTCGGAAGAAACCAAACTAACACAGGAATCGGTTAGTAAAATTTCTAATAAATTTAATATCATTGACATAGATTATCTCAAAGATTTAGCCTCAAAATTTAAGGGAGGTAATTTGGCTACGAAACTTCCATTTCGGAAGTCATTAACTACAGATGAATTTATTTTGGCAGTTATTCAAGGTTATTCTTTAGAATTTGATCAAGCCCCTAGTCAATATTGTATACCTAAACCATATGTTGTTTCTTTGCAGGAAGAGCAGAATGTTTCTCAAGCAGTTGAAAAACTAGAAAATAAAGGTATTATATCTGCTTGTTTACATGAACCTGATGAGTTCATTTCTAATATTTTTGTTACACCTAAAAAGGATGGATCATTCAGATTGATATTAAATTTGAAGCAATTTAATAAAGAGATCACCTATCACCATTTTAAAATGGAGTCCCTAGAAAATGCAATCAATTTGATGTTGCCTAATTGTTATATGGCAAGCATTGATATTACAGATGCTTATTATTCTATAAATATTAATCCTTTACACCGAAAGTATTTACGTTTTATCTGGCAAAATCGTTTATACGAATTTAACGCTTTGCCACAGGGTTTAACGTCTTCTCCACGAATTTTCACTAAAATCACTAAGCCATTATTTGCATCTTTACGACTAAAAGGTCATCATAATTGTTCATACATTGATGATTCTTTTCTTATGGGTGATACCTATGAAAGTTGTTATGCAAATATTCTGGATACTGTAGATTATGCGATTAAAGCAGGTTTCATAGTACATCCAAACAAATCTGTTTTGCAACCAAAACAATCCATCATTTATCTGGGTTTTGTTTTAAACTCTGTATCTATGACAGTATCTATATCGAGTTATAAAGCCAATAAAATTGAATTGGCTTGTTTTAAATTATTACAATTAGCTAAACCTAGTATCCGACAAGTAGCTGAAGTTGTTGGTATGATGGTAGCTTCTTTTCCTGGTAATGCTTTAGGACCATTATATTATAGACTTCTTGATAATTTAAAAAATCAATGTCTAAAAACTTGTAAAGGAGATTTCGATTTCACAATGGTTATCTCTGATTTATGTAAACAAGATTTAAATTGGTGGATACATAATATTGGACAGGCCTCCAAGTCGATCATGCATGTAGACCCCATTCGTACTTATACTTCGGATGCAAGTAAAAAAGGGTGGGGGGGGCACATTTGACACAGCTTGTACATCGGGTATATGGAGCAGTATTGAACATGAGCTCCATATAAATACATTGGAGTTACTAGCTGCACTCTATACTATTCAGTCTTTTTCATCAGATTTATCAGATTGTCATGTGCACATTTTGGTTGACAATACTACAGCTGTGGCTTATATTAACAACATGGGAGGCACATCTATATCTTGTAATGCAGTTGCAAGGCGCATATGGATGTGGTGTTTGAAACGAAATATTTGGTTGTCTGCTGCTTTCTTACCTGGTAAAGAAAATGTTCAGGCAGATCGACTAAGTCGACTTAACCATGATAATGTAGAATGGAAACTAAATAGCAATATATTTCTACAACTTTCAGATATGTGGGGTATACCAGATATTGATTTATTTGCTTCCAGACTGAATAATCAAACCCCTGTTTATGTTTCCTGGAATCCTGATCCATCGGCTATTGCTGTCGATGCTTTTCACATTAAATGGCATCATAACCTCAATTATGCCTTTCCTCCCTTTGTTTTGATAGGTAGAGTCTTGCAAAAGGTTCAGTTGGATAAAGTAAACATGTTAATTATAGTTCTTTTTTGGACTACTCAATCCTGGTTTACATCCTTAATGCATATGCTAATTGACTGTCCTTTTTTTTTAATTTCTAGAGAAAGAACAACTTTGACTCATCCAACCAAAAGTTTTATGGTTCATCTACCCAAACTCAGACTGCTGGCATGTTTGATTTCAGGCAAGCAACACGAAAGCGAGAATTTTTGGATGAGGTTAACAACGTCTTGTTGCACTCATTGCGACCACAAACTATTAAACAATATGATGTATACCTCAAGAAGTGGTTCACTTTTACAAATCAAAGGAGTGTCAATTCATTTTCACCCTCTGTGGGAAATGTGTTAGAATTTCTATATCAATTATTCGATTCAGGATATTCTTATAGTGCCTTGAACTCGATCAACATTATCCAGTTTCATCACATTTGACAACCAACCGTTGGGATGTAATCCATGTATTGTGCGGTTTCTTAGAGGATGTTTTAATCTTCGACCATCCCTTCCTAGAACTAATGTGACTTGGGATGTGGACAGAGTATTAAGTTATTTGAAGAATTTGTATCCGCTTTGTGACTTAACTCTTAAAGATTTGACATTGAAATGTGTATCGCTATTAGCGATTGTTAGTGGTCAGCGTATGCAATCTTTATTTTACATTGATGTGCGTAATATTGAAATATTGTTTGATAGGTTAAAAATACGTTTTGGAGATCTATTTAAAACTAGTAGACCAAACTTTCATCAGAAGGAACTGTGTTTTGAATCATACACAGATAAACGATTATGCATTGTGACTACCTTTCAGGAATATATTAAGAGAACTGAAACACTGAGATCATCTGGGACTCAATTGTTCATTAGTTACACGAAGCCTTATTCATCGGTGACACGTTCAACCATCGCTAGATGGGTCAAAGTGGTACTTTTTAATTCAGGCATTGACATGTGTTTATTTACACCACATAGTGTTCGTGGTGCATCTACCTCAGCTGCTCATCGGAAAAGAGTTCCATTGGCCACAATTTTGGAGACTGCTGGATGGAGTAACAGTAAAACTTTTGCTAGGTTTTACAATAAACCTATTGAGGATAACAGTGTGTATTCTAATCTTATATTGGACAGCTCAAAATAGGGCAGTGTTTTATTTGTGATAGTTCAAGTGGTAAACTATGGCAAACTGTTACTAGTATAACTATTGTGAAGGTGACAAACTTCATAGATTGAAAACATTTTAGATTAACTCTTCATGTACAAGTCAAATGGACTTTAAACATGTTCCAAAAGGTTTAAGGAAATATTATAAAACAACAGGATTATGCTAAAGGTTGATAACATGACTGTAATGAGAATCATAAACACTGAGTTGATGATATTTTTTCTAGTAGTTTAAATATGTAAGTGCTAGTAATAAAAGTTGGAAAATTGAATTAGTGATCTTTTCTTACTTATATATATTTTTGCATCGGATGACTACTGGCTTTGAAATCTCATGTGATTCCAAGTGACGTAAATAGTATAAACATAATTTAAAAATTAAATGAGCTTACCTGTAAGTGAAATTTGATTGTAATTCTGTTTTACTATTTATGGAACGGAGGGATCACATGCCCACCCTGAATTTTGTGTTTGTGTTTTGAGATATCTTGTTGCCCACCCAGGACTTGGAAATTTCCATTATTCATCCTCCTTTGAAGTATGACCAGAGCATGCGCAAAGCACTCTCATGTGATCCCTCCTTTCCATAAATAGTAAAACAGAATTACAATCAAATTTCACTTACAGGTAAGCTCATTTAATTTTTAAATTCATATTTCATTTATTCACACAATGTGACCCTCTTATGATCTAGTTTTATGAATTCTCCCGTAGCAGCTGGCGTCTCAATCAAATCCCACACAAGTGTTTATTGATTATGAAAGCTATATAGAATATAAAATTGAAACGGAGAAAGAACGGAATATACACATTCTAGGTCGTCACGGTTCTTTATAATGTGTATGCTATAATACTTAAATAGACTACCGCCATTTCAGTCTACCAGTTTGTGCAGTCCTTATTCACGTAAGTCAAAAGTAGTAATATTATTATTAATTATATAAAAAAAAACAACCACATCCAGTCTATGCACGGAGTACTATAATATGGTTATCTACAATCCTTTGCATTAAAAAATCTTTCTTAAATAACAATTAGTATGATTAAAGGCTGGTTAACAAATTATGCTAGTGGATAATTTATCGCGTGTATCGTAATCTTGAGATTGAATCGACACGTTTTGGTGGTTGAAATAAAGAATAAAATTTTCTGTTTCGGCCCGGTTGAGTCAGACATCTTAAGGAAGTCCCCCCCCCCCTAACTTTCGAGCAATCTGACTTTTCGGGCAGACGGGTAAAGTGAATACAAAAAATATTATTTCATCAAGTTTAAATTGAATTCCACGAATTTGTAATGAATTTACTATGGATTAAAGCATTTTGTTTGGAGCCACTCTAGTTTGTGCGACATTTGTGCGATATTGCGAATGCAGCTGCAACAGCCTGATTGGATGCTTGGAATTCAGCATAGAGTGGGATTTCGGTTGCAACCCGATTGGTATTTTAAAGTTGCTAAATTCACGGGCTAGAATAGCAGAAAAACGCATTTGCGGTTGTTAAATTTTCAAAATTTTCTCGGGGAGCGCAAGTCCCCCATACCCCGCGACGTTTGATTGGGATTTGGGATTCGGGTAAGTCACCTAAGGGAGGTTGAATTACATGGAAATTGCTATATTCAGGGCCTGGAATAGCAGGAAAACGCTTTTGCGGCAGTTGAATTTTCAGACATTCAACGAGCTCGTGCGTCTATGCATTATGTATAAATTTATCTGATATTTCTAGATTTATCTTGATAAGAGGACAGCGGTCGTGAAAAACCCTTAATAAAAGCTTAAATGCTTAAATAATGAATTTATTTATCGTTGATGTTATACATACGTATACAATTTCACTCACCGTCTTCTTTATATTATATATTATTATTGGCATACTTATTCAACAAGGATGTTACTCAAATATTTATTTTACTTTACGCATGTGGCGGCGTTAAGGGGCATAAAAGGTCTGACTATTCATTTTATTCGTGCAAACAAGTGAAGTGTTACAATAGTTACACTATCACGATTCGCGCCAGCAAAACGCCAAATTTACTTCTTTGGAGGGGTGGGGGCGGGGGGGGGGGGTCCTATACGTTGTCTGTAACCCGAAATTTTTTCGGTCCTTTCAGGTTCTGTTCCCTAACATTCATCGAGCCCGTACACCAATTCTATCAGTCTTATCATATATTGAGGTCAGTCGTAACAATCGTGTTGATCGTATCGAAACGTATCCGAACGTATCTGTACGTACCCAGATCGTGGACACAATAGCTAAGTTATCCATCCAAACCATAATTAACCGGAGGAACAATTTTACCGCACCTTATAGACTATACAAATTGCCAATATATTGCAGTTAAAACACCTGTTTAAATTAATAAACATAAATATCTTTTCAATACTATAGATTTCAAACATTAATTGAACGACGTGTTTAATTATGCATGTGTTCATGTTTACAGCCTGATTAGCTGACTGATGTTTTAGAAAAGGGCATTTCGATGTTGTCAATGGATAAAATCCCTGTTATTAATCGATTAAGTCGAGTTTTTGATTCAGTTTCACATTCATCCTGTTTCTGATGTCAGATTCATTTTCCATTTTTAATAATAAACAGGGTCGAGTATAGTAAGATATAGGAGAAATTCAATGTGTGTTTTTGAACAATGTCGCCAAATAGACACAACACATAACTTTGAGGAATACCAATTGCAGCCAGTCCATAACATTTCCCTATGCAAACCAAGTGGTTATGAATGGATTGGTATAATGGTGTTAAAGTCACCACTTGTCTAAATAGTCCAATATTGTCTAAATTTGGCTTTCACAATTACCTGGCATGAACGAAACAGACAGCCCAATGATTACTATTGTTTAATCGGTAATAAGAGATGTGAAATCAATGTATATTTTAACCATAACTTAAGTTGGAAATAATCGACAAAGCCTTAAACCTTTCTCTGGCATGTTGGGGGCTTTAACGATTTAATGTATTTGCTCTGCATCATATCTATGGAAGGGGATCGACGCCACTTTAAATGACATGTAAACACGAGTAGAAGTTACTATGTCAGCATATGAAAGTGTTGTTTTGATGATTTTTCCATGTTCGATTTTACAAAATAGAAAAGTATTGTCCACTAACGAAAAAACACATGTACAAATGCGCCTTGTAACGTTTGTATTTTCTACATCTGATCTTTCAACTGTTGTAATTTCTACTAGTGCATAATCGACATATGTAACTTCGACATCGGTATTTTCTTCCAATGTAATTTCTCCACATGTCACATCCATCAAGGCGTGGTTCCGATTTTAGCCGAAGCTTGCGTCATAAAAACAAAACCTCCCTTCAAGTAGTCTCGGTCATTCAGACAATATGGCTCCTCCGCGATAGCTCCCTCGACTAACGGGCTTGGATGACCGAGGCTACCCTTCGAGGAAAGTCATTCCTACTACCAGAAAGTTGCATGGGGAGCATCAATAATTTTTAACGGAAGTTAACACTAACATATTGTTTTATGCTAAATTTTAATACAACTTTTAATAGTTTGCTTTCTTTGTTATTTTTATGTGTCTTGAATTCACCATTTCTGGTGTTCATGTCGTTAACATAATTTTGAATGCATAGTTATAGTTTCGAATAAAGAACCGCCCCTGTCGGCCCTGTCGTCTGCTCCACATTGGTGACATCGTTCAATCGTAGCCATGGACAATAATAATCAGGTATATTTATGTTTGAATATCTTCCACAAAAAACTTGTTCTTAGAGCACATAAGCGTACAAATATACTACATAAGTGACACAGGTCTTTCTTCTTTTTTTGGTTGTCAGATGGTAGCACTATCTACACTACAGTTCTACACTCGTTCAGTCGTTGAGTCGTTATAGTTTCACGCGTAGACGCCGTAGATACCACATGGTCAATGAAATGGGGTTTAACGTCCTATTTTGATGTATTTTTTGTATTGGCTAATGAAGACTGGCATATACCATGCAGGGTGCAATGAGGGAAATTTTGTCAGGACAGGAATTTGATACCCTTTTTTTTTAGACCAATGTAATACATGTTATGTTCAAAACAACCCCCATCTAATAGAAACTCGAAAATATTGTTTGTTTACTATAATCTTATAATAAAGCTAAACTACACTCAATCACATAAGAGCTTATCTACCTTGCATTGGCCTTGATTCATTATAATATAATATGCAGGCCCGTAGCCAGACTGTAATCAACGGCGCAATTTCAGGGGGGCATCAGGCCATGATCAAGGTAACCTTCACCCCTACCCCTTTCTAAATCTATGCATATTTGATGAATAATGGACATCCAGATCAGATGATCATTCATGATATTTAGTTAGAGCTATTTATTTATCATTCTTATTTATTATATGGGGAGCAGCAGTGGCTCAGTGACTACGGAGCTTGCTTACTAACCAGGTCCAGGTTGTTGATTCGATTCCCGGTCATAAAAACTCATGACGGATTCCCCTTCCTTGTCAGTCACAGTGGTGCAGACTCGAGCTGAGGGGCTGGCAAAGAATAGCACCTAGTCGTTTGGATGGGACGAAAAACCGAGGTCCAGTGTGCTGCATCAGGACAGGGCGCATGCTAAAAATCCCAGACAGTTGGAAATTCTTAGAGATACTGATAGTACTAGTAGTAGTAGGCCTAGTGATTCATTTCATAGACATAGTCTAGCTAGGGCTAGGCGTGTTATTGATGGATGTCCTGACAAAATTTCCCTCATTGCACCCTGCATGGTATATGCCAGTCTTCATTAGCCAATACAAAAAATACATCAAAATAGGACGTTAAACCCCATTTCATTGACCATGTGGTATCTACGGCGTCTACGCGTGAAACTATAACGACTCAACGACTGAACGAGTGTAGAACTGTAGTGTAGATAGTGCTACCATCTGACAACCAAAAAAAGAAGAAAGACCTGTGTCACTTATGTAGTATATTTGTACGCTTATGTGCTCTAAGAACAAGTTTTTTGTGGAAGATATTCAAACATAAATATACCTGATTATTATTGTCCATGGCTACGATTGAACGATGTCACCAATGTGGAGCAGACGACAGGGCCGACAGGGGCGGTTCTTTATTCGAAACTATAACTATGCATTCAAAATTATGTTAACGACATGAACACCAGAAATGGTGAATTCAAGACACATAAAAATAACAAAGAAAGCAAACTATTAAAAGTTGTATTAAAATTTAGCATAAAACAATATGTTAGTGTTAACTTCCGTTAAAAATTATTGATGCTCCCCATGCAACTTTCTGGTAGTAGGAATGACTTTCCTCGAAGGGTAGCCTCGGTCATCCAAGCCCGTTAGCTGAGGGAGCTATCGCGGAGGAGCCATATTGTCTGGATGACCGAGACTACTTGAAGGGAGGTTTTGTTTTTATGACGCAAGCTTCGGCTAAAATCGGAACCACGCCTTGATGGATGTGACATGTGGAGAAATTACATTGGAGGAAAATACCGATGTCGAAGTTACATATGTCGATTATCCACTAGTAGAAATTTCAACAGTTGAAAGAT